GAGAAAATTCTTCTGCGGTGTGGCCACAAACACTTGAGTCTCTGTGGTCCGTATCTTCTCACCAGATGTCTGATAAAAGACAGGGAAGAAAATAAAACTAATAAAATCTTCCTTTGCATGAGTAATTCCAAAAAACAAGAAAAGAATCATCACAAAAACAGTCCAACTGCACCTCCAGAAACACAAGAGTTTTTAGGCCTTCAGCCCCACTCCACCCTTCCTTATCCAGGACCTACCTTCATCCTCTGCTCCACAATGGAGAAGATCCGCTCCACCCCAATGCTGAGCCCCACGCATGGCACCTTGTGGCCCCTGGGGTCAAACATGCCCACCAGCCCATCGTAGCGCCCACCAGCAGCCACACTGCCCACATGCAGGGGCTCCTCGTCAGCCTGAGCTGGGGTCTGTAGCAGCACTGCTTCATAGATCACTCCTGTATAGTAGTCTAGACCCCGAGCCAGGCTTAAATCAAAGGAGATCTGTGGGGAAAGGTTACAGCCAGTCCCAGACATGACTCAGGACCCTGAGAGCCCCTGAGCCCTGTAGGAGGTCCACTCCCCATGCAGCTTACCTTCTCAGCAATTCCAAATAAAGTCAGATATTCAAATAGCAGCTTCAGGTCTCCCAAGCCCTCTAGGGCCTGCTTATTCTGGGACAGTTTAGGATCCTGGCACATTTGCTCTACCAAGGACATCCCACCTGGGGAGACATGGGAGAAATAAGGTCTGCTATTCACCCACATGTGTTTCATCCGAATTTATCCCTCCTCACTTAGAACAACAACAACAAAAAAGATCCTGACCACACATGACCAGGCTTTCTTCCTCTGCCTCTACCTTTGCCATATGAGGACAAAGAATGGTTCCAATAAAAGGGGAGTTAAATTCAGGCTAGGCTATGAAACTTAGCATTTCTATGGAAAGGAGCTGCTTCAGAGACAGAAGCTGTTCGCCTATCACCCTCACCCTGGTTCCATCATACAGCTCTGAAAACCCTGGTTCTTACCATGACATTGGACATAGTCCCCAATTCGATCCGCCACTTCAGGAGCCAGACCTTGCTTTTCCACCATCTCATGTCTCACATTTTTCCAAGACATCTGTACAAATACCCAAACATTAGCCCAGCCCCAAGATGCTTCCTTCTCTAACTGGAAAAGGACAACTCACTTCCATTCAATATGTGTTATGCTCAACAAAGTCACTAGAGAGGCAGCTTAGGAAATGCAGCCACAATCCCCACTGCACAATCAAACTCAGGTCTTGCTTCAGAATGTCTCCTCGCCCTCCTCGCACCCAGCCACCATCTCCTTATTTTTCTCTAGGGGTATAGAACTGAGAGCAAGGCAGAAACTCTGACAGGGTCTACTGAAGCATGCCTTCTTTGTTACCTTGTCTAGCTTGTCTATTGAGGAGCAGACAGCATGGAACTTGCTTTCAGGAACACCACAGACAGCAAACATCCCATCCAAAATCCTCCGGTCACTGACCTATGAACTCAGTGGAAATAACCCAAATGCCTTGTTAATGCCCTTTCCCTCAAAACAGTACCTACTTTCCTGACTCATAAAAGTGACAGAAAGGAGATTTCAGATGATAACTGTATCCTGACATATATGAAATGCAACAGCTGTACTAAGAAAGTTCTGAAACTACAGACTTAAAGGCTGGGTTCACCTATGTTTTGGGACAGCATCAGGCCAAATCCAGAATTCTCCTCTCAGCCCTGTCATGGCCTCACCTTAATGACAAAGTCCCCCAGTTGCAACCCACTTAGGATTTCACACATGATCTTCAAACACTCTGCATCAGGGATCATAGGATCAAATTGACCAGCAATGTCAAAATCCTACAGCAAAGAAAAAGATGGGAAAAAAAGAAACTCCCCTGAGCAGCCAGTTCCTGAGTTTGAGCCCCCAGACTGCCTCCATCAGGTCACTTACGCACTGGCAGAACTCCCTGTAGCGGCCTTGGACTATGGTTGGGCTCTCCCGCCGCCACACCTTTCCAACATGGTAGCGTTTCATCTTCTTCACTTTATTCATGGCCAGATAACGAGCAAAAGGGACCTCACATAAACAGGTTAAGGAGGAAGAATACTGCATCCAAAGGTCCAGTGAACTGACATTAGGGAGGAGGGAGGACTGGGCCTCTATCAACTGGATTTCACCCACAAAGATGAGAAGAAGGACTTTCTCTGTCTTGTTTTCCCTATCCCCAAGGCATAACAATGCTTGGCATTTGAAATACTCTGAATAGTGTCAAATGAAGGAAACCCACCTAGCAAAACTACAAGTTCAGTAGAAAGCAGGGGAAGCAGAGAGAAATAAGCCAAGAACTTCCCTCTTATTCCGATCAATTCTTAACTTCTCCAAATATTCAAGCTTCAGAACCTGGATTTGACTACATCTTCTATGTCAATATTTCTTAATGTGTAGGTCAAGGACTAATTGCATCTTAATTACCCAGATGCCTGTTTAAAATGCAGATTGCTGAACCCCACTTTAGCTACAGAATTAAGAATAGAGGCTGGCAGCCCGGAATCTGTTTCTGCAAACTTCCTGAAGGGATTCTGATACATGTTAAAGTTAAATGACAGTGCTCCAAGCCAGCCTCCACTGACAGAGCTGCCTTCTGGAAGAAACTGGAAGCGAAAGCTGCTGCCAACAGACATTGAGAGGTCCCAGGGTCATTCTTGTTCTTTTTGTTCAAGAAAGCCCTCTGGGTTTGAAAAGAGGTAAGTGAGATCCCAGCACTCAGAAGGATACAGTGAGGTCATAGCGTAAGGACAATAGCTCTCCACCCTGATCCTTCAGATCATAGATGAGCCTAGAGTCCTCTCCGTACTTCTCTGTGAGCACTTCCTTCAGGGGACAAACAGAAAGTGTCACAGTTCAAAAGAGGACCCCAGAACACAGACTAGAAGCTTGTTGGGAAAGTAAAGGCAGGTGAAGGAATGGGGTTCCAGCACTTTCTATGCCTCTTACCTTTAGCTCAAATGCTGGGGTATCCAAACCTTTTGCTCCATGACGTTTAAAGCAGCTAACAACCATACTGAGAATTTTCTCCCTGACAACCATCTGCTGAGGACTAAGATCTCTGGTGCCCTAGAAACCAAAAGCAACCATAGTGAATAAAAAGACAAAAGACAAGTCCATTTAAGACAGAATTAAACATCTATAATCTAAGGTCTAGAATTGAAATCTCTCTGAGTTCAAATGATTCTGAGCCCCATCAACTACCTCAAGAATAGTGCTTTTCTTAAACTTGTCTAAAAGGATATTAAAAGGGGTCAGCAAGAGACAAGCAGACCAGAGGGCAGTCCTCCAAAGCACTCAAATGGGATAGGGTGAGGCAAAAAGCATTACCTTTGGGGTCTTGATAATAAAATTAGATTTATCTTGATGTGGTTTCAGTTGGGACGTTAACACGGCCTCAGCAACCTGGCAGAAGAAGATGTGAGTGTGAGATGTGGCTCTTCTCAAGGCTGGCCAGACCTGTGATATCTCTGGCCCTATGGACCACCAACGTACAAAGACCTTTGGTCCTGAGAAGCAGGAAGTTCAGACACTATTTTATCCATTCAAATCATAGCCCCTCTCCAAAAACCCACATTGTATCTGCATTATATAAATAATACACATGAGGTCAGGTCTCTACCATACAAACTTTGTCACTCTATTTGGAGTTTTTCAATGTCTGAAAAAGTTTAAGCACTTGAGAATAATGAAGGCACAGAACAAACCAACCCACCATTACCACATGAGCAATCAAGGGGCAGGAATTAGTATGATCTTCTCCAGTACTCAGTTCCTACTCAAAGAGTGAAAGTAATCATTTGTATTAAGTTAACAGTGGTCATTAAGCTTGGAGATGGGAGAAAAAGTAACTTGTAGGCAGAAGAGAATCAGCCTCGGGACACAAAACATGCCCGTGGAATGAAAAGAAATGGATTTTTCTGATTGAACTCAAAATCAGACTGGAAGGATGCTGTGACTGAAATTTAATAACAAAAAATCTGAGCCCTGTTGTTTACGATAGCACAAAGCATCTGCTAGGAAGACGACAGGGTCTTTCCCAAGATAAAAACAGAGTAATTGGTTTTGTTTATCACCAGCAGGTTGTATGCCTCTCCAGAAATATGGAGGGTGTGGTAATTCCATATTTTGGCAGATTCTGTTCTCCAAAGGACGGCAGGTCAAGTCCAAAATCTCTCCTCTGGAATTCCAAAATACAAAAATCTCTGAAAACAGAAAATGCTTTCTCTTTTTTAAGCCTCATTTTGAGGTAAATTCTAATATGAACTCCGTCTACTTATGGTCATCTTCAGTCATCTTAGTGGGAATACTCATATATATATATCGCTTATGAAAATTTAATGTGTTTGGACACAGGAGATTCAGATAAGTAATTGTGGACCAGTATTAAAATGTTCCCTTGTTATGCAACTTTGCAGCCTCCCTTTCCTCAACTGATATGCAAATAATACCAGCCTCTCGAGATTGCTACCAAGTTTAAACAACAATACATCTAAAACGCTTATCTCAGTGCCAGTACATGGTGGGCATGCAATAAAAACCAACTGTAACACTACTGGAGTACAGGCCGCGAGTCCAAGCTTTCAGACCTGGAGAACCTGCCCCCACAGATGGCAGCTACTTCCGTCTGGCTCACCTGGCTATGATAATGGACCTCCCCGATGCACACAGCACTAGGAGGCCGCAGGAGCTGGCCGAGCAGGTAAGTCCAGGCCCTCCTATGCAGGAGTCCGAGCTGGGGCATGGTGAGGCAGGAGGCCGGCTTTCAGGGACACGAGCCAAAGGACCAGAGAACGAGGCAAGGCGGACACCGGAAAGGGTTCAGAGCGCTATAGAGGCGATGCCCTAGCACAGAGGAAAAAGCGAGCTCTTCCGCAACTCCCAAAGCCTGCAAGCGGAATCCAATCTTCTCGGGCTCACGTCTCCGCTTTGACACTTCCGGTAGGAACTGGAAGTAGTTACACTCGGCGGAGGCTCTCTAGGCGTGCGGGCAGTGACTCGATAGCCGGAAGTCATCCGAGCTGACGCTGCGGCAACCACAAGACAACGGTCTGCAGCAAGTGGCGGACGCTATGGCGGAGCGTGCGGCGCTGGAAGAACTGGTGCGACTTCAGGGAGCGCACGTTCGGGGCCTCAAGCAGCAGAAGGCCGGCTCCGCGCAGGTACAGCGGAGGTGGCAATGGAGTGGCCAAAGCAAGGCTGGGGAGGACAAAAAACTGGGGTGGTCTGCACCTAGTAGAGAAATGAGTAGGGGATGAGACCCTGCCTTAGGGTGGAGGACGGGCTGGGTTGGGAGGGAGCAGGGGTAGGATCCGAGAGAAGTAAAACTAGGCCTGGGGAGAAAGATCTGCCTCGGATCCTGATGAGGGACGGGTACTGAATGAATGGCGGAGGTGGGAGGGGGAGTGGCAGATGTGAGAGTCCAGCGCCTTATCTTAACAGATCGAGGAGGAGGTGGCGAAACTACTGAAACTGAAGGCACAGCTGGGCCCTGATGAAGGGAAACAGAAGTTTGTGCTCAAAACCCCCAAGGTAATTTAGGGAGCCTCTGAGAGAATCCCTAGCTCCACTCCCCAGGGCTGATATGCCTGTTTCCTTGAACCAGATACTTGAGGAGGATCTGCAATGCTGCAGAGGAAACAATAGTTGCTCTGGGCTGGATTGGACTCTTATCTGAGTCATTCTGGGATTGCAAAGTGGCATCAAAAACTAGGCCAGCTGGGTGCTTATGGGAGTCGGCCTGCTACTGCTTTTCAATTCAGTAAATATTTATCGAGTACTTACAACATGTGCTTAGCATTGTACAAAGCAGTGAGGAGACCATGGAGAACAACACATTCTATTTAAGTAAGAAGACTTAGGACAAATAATCCTACACATGGATATGTCATTACAAATGATAATAAATGATATAAAGAAATAACAAGGATGCTCTGAGAAAAATAAGAGAGAACCAAGGAGTCTGAGAAAGCCTCGCTGAAGAAGTGATACACCAACTGACCTAGCAGATGAATGGGAGGTAGCCAGGGGAAGAGTTTGAGGAAGAAAAGTCCAGGTAGAGTATGGGAACCCTGAAGCAGGAAAGAACCTTGGTAGTTTTCAGGAACTAGAAGAAGACCCACCTGTGTGACTAGAACCAAATAAGGAGTAAGCAGTAGGGTAGAATGAGGTTGGAGATTCCAAGCTCGGCCTCCAGGATTTCAGTTCAGATGCCACTTTCTGTAAGTTCTCTAACAGAACTATTTACCCCTTCATCTGGGTTCCTTTGGCACTTCATAGTTTTTTAACGTCGCATTTATTGATGACTTTTAGTTATTCACATGGTTCATTTACCCTGAGAAGCTAAGACTACATGCCTGAAACTAGTCTTCAATGAATGTATGTGGAGTTGAATTCCGAAGGAAAGGGGAGATGATCTGTCTTCCTTTTGTTGAGATGCCACCTTCTAAGGATACTGCTTTGCTTAAATTAATTGAGCTGTTACTTTCTACACAACTCATTCAAAGGTTGAAGACTGTAAAATCCCAAGGCATTGATCATTATTCAAATTATTAGGTGAAAAGATGAATAGGGAATTTATGACAGCTCAGGCTAGCCTCACCTAAACCCGATGATCAATCTTAACATTATTAAAACTAGGACAACCAGACGTTTTTCCTGATGCAATGCAATAAAAAGTACTTAGCACCACCTATAAAATATCCTTGCCAAGAAAAATTGAACCTGAATCTAATCAGGCCTTCAGACCTAAGTACCAGTTTACCAGAAATATGGGAGATAGAGGAACATATTAAATGACACATTGAGATATTGTTAACCAAATCTAGAAAGCAAAACATTTTTTAGGAAAATGACCCAATTTCTTCAACAAATAAGTGACTTAAAAAAAAAAAAAAGAATGGAAAATATTAAATAGACATAAAAACATATCAACCAAATACAATGCATGGACTTTTAGAATTTGATTCAAATAATCCAACCAAAAGATCCGTCTGTCTTTTATGCCAGACATTAAAGATTTGCAAAAATATAAATCAATACCATTCTTTTTTTGTTTTGGGAAGTAGTTACATTTTGCTAAAATGTACTTAGGTTAGTATGTAGTAGATTTACCATTTTTTAAGTGAATTAATAAATATTTTTAAATGTTTTCAGTTTTAATTTCTAAAATGATAAATATTTATAAGTACAACCCACTTTGGGTCCTTAGTAAAAGTAAGACTATAAAGAGGGCCTGAGACCAAAGACTTGGGAGTAGGATATAAAAGCTCAGACTAGAAACTTCGACCCGGAATGACAGGATCCTACTCTTGACTGTCACACAACTGCTGAGTGCCCTTAAGTAATGACTCTTCTCAACACCCTATAATTCATCTGTAAAATGTTTCTGCCCAGCCCATGTTGCAGGGCTGGGAGAACAAATTAAAGAACAAATACTACTTATCAGAATTTTAAGCTACATTGGGAGGGAATGTTACTTGTGAAATTTGGAATTCAACTAGTTAAGCCAGGTTGAATTATGTACCTGTCAGGTAGGTGCTTTCTATTAGGCAAGGAAATGTTCTGTTATCCCAGAAAAGGAGTTTTTAGGAAAATTGCTCAGAGAATAGAATTCTAAGAATTGTAGAAAATAGACCCAAGCTAAAAAGGGTATGGAACTTAGAGGGGCAATAGCAAATGGATGTGTGGTTAATCGGGAGTTGTTTGTACTTACTTTACAGCTCAGTGGCCTTGAGGAAAATTTAAGATTGAGTCAGTATTTGCATTTGCCACCATGGAGGTCATGCTTTTATGTTTCTAGACCTTAACTGTTCTTTGTCTTTAAATCCAATACCTGGTTTTTTGGCTGATGGACTCCAAGGGCACAAGAGACTACAGTCCACGGCAGATGGCAGTTCGGGAGAAGGTATTTGATGTAATCATCAGCTGCTTCAAGCGCCATGGTGCAGAAGTCATCGATACACCTGTGTTTGAACTAAAGGTGAGGGATGAGTGAGGAGAAACTGCTTGGTGGAAAAGTGGGTATACAGACAACAAAGAGGGTGAGGAGTGGTGGCCCAAAGGTCTCCCTCCTGTTGTGGGCAGGACTGATTTAGAAGGAGAGGCCCAGCTATTTATTTATCCTGGTTGTGGCCAGCAGTTTCAAAAAGTAGCCCTATGCAGAAATGGAAGTTCTTAGGACTGCTGTCTGTGATGAATTCGTAGTACCTGTACCTGGGATATTTTCTAGATGCATGAAAACCACACAAACTATAAATATGCAACCAGTCTCCTACTGATAGACCTTGAGGTTGTTTCCAGTTCTCTGCTGTTAAAAAAACCAGATTGCATTTCTCCCTACAGTGACTTCTATTGCATTTATAATAAAATCCAAACTTTTCTCAGGCTTACAAGGCTGCACATGATTTGGCCACTGCCTGTCTCTCCTGTCTCACCTCATGCTATTTTCCCTTTGCCCACTCTGCTACTCTGGTCTTCTTTCTACTCCTGGAACAAATATGTTTCCGTCTCAGGACCTTTGTTCTTGCTCTTCGCTCTTCCTGAGCTCCCCTTTCTCCAGCTCTTTGCATGACTTTAATTTCAGATCAAATTAGCAATTATAGATTTTAATTTCAGATCTCAACTGAAATGCCATCCCTCAAATAATCCTCTGTACTACCTTTTCTAAAGTAGCCCTTATCTATCACACTGATCTGTTTTATTTCCATTAGAGTAGCTGTCACTATCTGAAACTATCCATTAATTTGTTCCCTTGCATTGGTGTACTGGCTGATGTTTCTCATTAGTGTAGAATATCCCTAAGAGGACTGCCTTTGTCTTGTTCTCTGATACATACTCAGTGTTTAGAACAATATCTGGTACTGGTGAACATTTATCTGCAGGGTAAGTTGTATAGAAATGGAATTGCTGGGTCAAGGGGTTGTGCTCATTTATATTTTTACCAACTGTATTAATTTGCTAAGGCTGCCACAGTAAAGTACCATAGACTGGGTGGCTTAAACAAAAGTAATTTATTGTCTGGAGGCTATAAGACCAAGATAAGGTATCTGAGGGAAGGATTTGTTCTAGGCCTTTCTCCTTGGCTTGTAGATGGTTATCTTTTCCCTGTGTCTTCACATCATTTTCCCTCTGTGTCCAAATTTCCTTTTTTATAAAGACATCAGTTATATTGGATTAGGTTCCAACCTAATGACCTAATTTTAGCTTAATTACCTCTTTATAGACCCTATCTCCAAATATAGTCATATATGAGTTTCCTGGGGGATAGGACTTAAACACATGAATTTTGAAGAGGGACAGAATTCAGCCCATAACACCAACCAATGTATGAGTGTTTTTGATTCTACACACTGCAATTTTTCAAACTTTTTAAACTTTGCCAAATCTGGCAGTTGAAATATGTTATCACCTTGTTGAAGATATCAACTGCTATCTACTATCTGTTTTGGCTTTTAACATTGTTCAAATCTCAGGCATCATAAAAACTCTTATGTTTGTTGTAATAACCCACTCCTAGGGGTTTATCTTCAAAAAATAAATATTCAAAAGAAAAAAATTATGTACCCAAATATATTTATTGAAATGTTATGGAACTTTTTTTTGGAATACACTAAACATCGAACAGTGTAACACTAGGAAGGAAGCTCCTGTTCCCTGGAATATTATGCAGCTTTTAAAAGTAATACCTCACAAAATGGAAATGTTGATAAGCAGAAAACAAAATTGGTTTTTCCTTTTGATTATAACCACATCAAATATATAAACATTGGAATAGAGAGTAGAGGAAATGTAGACATGTGGAAATCATTCATGTTAGAGTACTTTCTGTTTTTGTTTTTGTTTTTTTATTTTACTAATTTTTATTTAGGAAATGGAACTTTCATTTCATCCCAGTATTTTCTTCGGAGGTAGACTTTGTTTTTATTTCAATGAGTTCTTCTACTCGAGCCAGAACACTTTCAATCAAATCAGATGTGAAAAGAGCTGAATGTAGGACCTTAAGCTGCATTTCAGGAGGCATGATAGGGATCTCTTCTCCACCTACAGTTACAGAACAAAGATCCTTAGACTTTTGGACTTCTTGGCTATTTTCTTGGCTATTTTTAATTTCTGCTTCATAATGTGCTTTTGACATATTAAGTCCTGTATGGAGTGGCTTTAAGAAATTATTCTCAATCTTTCCAAGTTCTGTCCATAATCCAGTTTGATTATCATTTTCATTATCTTTGATAACCAAATATCTCAATAAACTTAATGAAGCCATTATCCTGTCTGAGTTTTGCAGTCACCCTCTGGGAGAAAGAGTACCAAATCTAGAAGGGAAATTAGTGATGGTCCTGTAAACCATTTGTTATATGTTCCCTTTAAAGACACATCAATTTGATTTTTGATATTTTGAATAATAAAGGCCTCCACACCTGAGTGATTGCTTGTATTCAATAAGCACCTAAATAATGTATATTTGCCTTGTGAATCCAACTTGTTAATATACAGCTGAAGCATAGCTAAACTCTTCTTCCTCAGTGCCTCAGTGGGGCAGAGTGTCATTACTTTGACTAAGCCTTGAGGTACAGTAAGAAAACTCTTGATTTCTAAACACTGGTGAAGTAGACTGTTATCTTCTATTCTTAATAAACCATTCTCCAACAGATCCAGTTCTTTGGAGAAAACAGACTCTTCTGTTCTTTGCAAAAAGACTTCAATATGCCCCATATTAAATTGCAAAAGGTACGATGGGCTTAAGACCATTGGGAGCTGATCAGTACTGATGCCCTGTACAAATACTAGATATGCCAGAGAAGCCATAGACCCTGCTAACTGTTTGTCTTCTTCTTCCTCAAATTCAAGATAATCCCAAATCCTCTTTTTCCTTTCATGATTAAAAATCATTTTGGGGAAAGGGTGTCCAATTGCTGACAAAAATCCTATTATTTCAGATGCAAAACACCTTAAAGGATCATTTCCACTTTCTCCAGACTGTTCAAGGAATTGTGCTGTCAGCAGAGGCCATTTCAAGCTTTTGAAACAAAATTTCAGTAACTCGTCCTTTGACTTTTCATTTTCCAGTGAGTTTTCTTTGTCGTCGATGACTTCTTCCACAAAAGGCTTAGTGAGCTCTATTAAGGCCTTGCAACACTGACAAAGGCCATAGTCTTCTCTCTGCATTTGTTCTTTTGAGTATGGAACGGAGGAGGGATAGCTGACTCCAAAGGGTGGACAAGGCTAATCCAACTGAATATGCCGTGTTGTTATGAAGTTTCTGAATCACTTGACCAATAAATCAAGCATCAGAAAATATTTCCTTTTTTCATCTTCCTTACCATTCCATAAAAGGCATCGAACAACAGGACCAACAAGATTCCAGCCCATATTCTTAATGATGACTTTATTCTTTTCATTTTGAGTAATTTCTAATAGCTGGTCTATGTGCCCTTCATCTATGCATCTTTGACCAGCTAACTGAAATAAGCCAAAATCTTCTTCTTTAAAGTCTTGCTCTTATAGGATTTGACATCTCTTTATTATGGATTGAAGTTCTTCCACAGCCATTCCTCCTTTTTCCTGGTTTTGATGCTGAAATGTACCGCAGGCCGCCAGCCCCTCTCAGCGGCCCCGCCCCGCCCCGCCCCGGCTGGGCCCGCCCCGCCCCGGCTGGGCCCGCCCCGCGTGGGCGAGGGAAGGCGGAGCCTCGGGGGAGGTGCCAGGGCCCGTCCGCGCGAAGTGCGCTGCCCGTGGCTGACGGGCCCGACTAGTTTCTGTTTTTAAAACTTCCTTTTAAATTGTTATCATTGTGACCACGTTTCTTTGTGTTTTCTCCAGGAGACACTGACTGGAAAGTATGGGGAAGACTCTAAGCTGATCTATGACCTGAAGGACCAGGGCGGAGAACTGCTGTCTCTTCGCTATGACCTCACTGTATCTTTCTAAACCTGGGCTCTTGACACTTTGGATGGATTGGCCCTCGTTGAGCTGGGGGTGTTTCTAGCATCAGTTTTGGGGACAGCTATACATAAATGGGATCAAATACGATGCCTTTGGCAATCAGGGAAATTATTTCTCTAAACCAGGAACAGGACTGTGGCTAAACAGCATAGCCTTGTAAGACTTCTGAATTCTGAGTGAGACCTCAACTTGATGTCAGGGCCAGTTCCAACTCTGCCAGCATTCCCTTGGCTCCAGAATCTCTTTTCTGCTGTCCAGTGGACAAAGTTGTTAATGGACCAACAGCACGTTTCTTTTATCTCCAAGCTGTGTCAGAGAATCATATGCTAAGAAATAAATGTGGCTCCTTTTCTGCTCGCTGGCCAATCTGCTCAGCCTCCTGCCATGCTCAACGTAGGCCAGGGAGACACTACCAAAGAAAAAGGAGACTGAATCATTTTTGAAACTTCAGCTGCCCCTTATGGTAACAAAGTTGATTCTAATGTTCAGAAATGCTGTTAATCTTATAGTTGGTGGTTTACCCACACAGGGAGGAGTTAGGCCCCAGTTTCTGTTGGTTATGATAGTAGTCAACATCCAGACTGATAGGAGGGGCTTTCTTCTTAACTCTTTGTTATCAGGTTCCTTTTGCTCGGTATTTGGCAATGAATAAACTGACCAACATAAAACGCTACCACATAGCAAAAGTATATCGGCGAGATAACCCAGCCATGACCCGCGGCCGATACCGGGAATTCTACCAGTGTGTGAGTGTGTAGGTCAGGCTGGGTGACTTGGCCCTGCCTCAGGTCAGCAGGATCTGTTGAGTACTCCTGGTGGACTGAACAGACTGGTTGCCCCAGATAATGCTAACCCTTAGGTTTCTTTAGTCTTTTCGTGTAGAGGACAGGGATCATTCTCTCCATTGACACATGAGTAAACTTGAGACTCAGCAAGATGAAGGGATCATAGGAATAAGAATGGCAAAGGCAGTACTGGAACTCTTGGTCCAGTGCTCTTTATATTGAATCACAGTGATAGGATCACAGCGTAGGACGGGTATTTAAGGTATTAAAGCGGCCAGACTGATAGTTTCTGAATAGTGATGATGACTGAGAACTAAGACTGTGTAACTGCCCCCATGACATAGGAGGAAATAAGGAAAACTAGATGAATGAGGTCAGGAAGGAATAGCCCAAGAGACTGGTATCAGCAAACCAGGACTGGTAAGAGATCCGAGAATGCTGCAGTTTTCCTCTGGGCTAATGATCAGAGAATGAAAAAAGTCTGTGCATATTTTTAATTTTTTTTTTTTTTTTTTTTTTTTTTTTTCCTTTTTGTCCCCCCCACTTAAGTAGAGTGAACCCCTGAGGACCTCTAGCTACTCCTCTCCCTGCAGGATTTTGACATTGCTGGGCAGTTTGATCCCATGATTCCTGATGCAGAGTGCCTGAAGATCGTGTGTGAGATCCTGAGTTCACTTCAGATAGGCGACTTCCTGGTCAAGGTCAGAGCTGAACAAGGGCTGGGAGGGCAAAGTTAAGCCTGGCCTCTCACAGGAGAAGGTCCTTGTGCAGAGATACCAGTAGCCCAGGTGACCAGGGCTATTGAAGGTTACTAGTGGATTCTCTCCTCACTATGCCTTGGTAACTCCAGGTGAATGATCGGCGCCTTCTAGATGGGATGTTTGCCATCTGTGGAGTTCCTGATAGCAAGTTCCGTACCATCTGCTCCTCAGTGGACAAGCTAGACAAGGTGATGACCCAAATACACTTGACTCTTCTTTCCCCAGATTGCACCCTCCTCTGAGAAATGGAAAACAAGATTAGAAGAGAGGGGCCTGCCTCTTTGGCCACCAGGGGAAGATTAGCCCCGGAATGTAGGTTGAAGGGTAGCTTCTGCTCCAAGACCACCTTCTGAGGGTGACCCATATTGGCCTTGCAATGGGGAAGCTACCCAGGGGTCCCTGACTAGTGTGTGTCTGCCCAGGTATCCTGGGAGGAAGTAAAGAATGAGATGGTAGGAGAGAAGGGCCTCACACCAGAGGTGGCTGACCGCATTGGGGACTACGTCCAGCAGCATGGTGAGGAACTAACCCTGACCCCCAGCAGCCATCCCACTGCCTTCAGGTCTAAAGCCGAAACCCTTGTGTGTGTGGATGTGTGTGGGAGAGAGAGGGAGGGGCAGAGAAAGTGTGTGTGTGTGTGTGTGTGTGTGTGTGTGTGTGTGTGTATACACGCATGCTTGTACAGTCACACAAAAAGGCAGAGCCCCTGTCTTTTTTCTCTTGGTAGTCTGACTCACAAATATGTCTCCTCAGGTGGGTTATCCCTGGTGGAACAGCTGTTCCAGGATCCTCAACTGTCCCAAAACAAGCAGGCCTTGGAGGGCCTTGGAGACCTGAAGCTGCTGTTTGAATACATGAGCCTGTTTGGCATTGCTGACAAGGTGAGTCAGGTCAGGGATGGAAGCCTTCGCTGAGCTCTGGAGCTTCAGCTTCCTGACCCTCATCTGGTATCGACCATGTTCTTGTCCCCACAGATCTCCTTCGACCTGAGCCTTGCTCGAGGTCTCGACTACTATACCGGGGTGATCTATGAGGCCATGCTGCTGCAGACTCCACCCCGGACAGGGGAAGAGCCCCTGGGTGTGGGCAGTGTGGCTGCTGGAGGGCGCTACGATGGGCTCGTGGGCATGTTTGACCCCAAAGGGCGCAAGGTGCCATGCGTGGGGCTCAGCATTGGGGTGGAGCGGATCTTCTCCATTGTGGAGCAGAGGCTGGAGGTAGGTCCTGGGGGTAAGCAGAGAGTCTGGGTGGCTGGCGCCCAAACCGTCTTCTTTGATCTCCAGGAGGGCAAGTGATGCTGCTCTGGACAAGAAGCATCTTTGTAAAGAAATGGAGAAAAGATGGTCCCTGGTCTTCACAGATTCTCACCCCATTACAGGCCAGATATGGATCTTTGATCATTCTTCACAAAATCCTTTGCTCTGGGTCCCTACTTCCCTCAAGCTGTCAGGAATCTAAACCGATATATCCAAAGACCTGGATCTTTTTTGTAATACAAAGTCCTTAATATTTTACTACTCTATGCCAGGCACTGTGCTTACTGGTTTTCTTGCATTACCTAATAAGATTCTTAAACAGCCCTCTGAAAGTAGCTACTTTTATTATTTATTTACAATTGCCAGATGAAGGAACTGAAGTATTATGGATAAAATAATTTGCCCAAGGTCATGAAACTTAAGTGGCAGAGTCAGAAATCAAATCCAAGCAGTCTAACTCCAAAGCCTCGCTTCCAACCACTCTGTGACATTGTCTCTAAGTGGAAAGCAAGTGTCCGAGGCCCTGAGATCCCTCAGATGTCTGTCTTGACTCTTTGGCACCTAGAGGAATATCAGCCCTTCATGGCCTGAAGCCCTTCTTCGTTGCTGCTGCTCTTAACTGGCTCTTGGTATTTCATCCCCTGGGGAAACGCTCTTGAAATAACATTTCCACTGATCCCATCTTTTTCTCCAGAGTGGAAACTACCTGTTTCCCAACTGAGGTCCTATTCCAGTAGGCATCTTATGTTGTATGAACTATGAAAGTACTTCTGAGAGAGACAAGGGGCAGTAACAGCATGTCCTTTCCCCCATCCACACACACCCTGTGTCGTGCCCTATGGCTAAAGAGGAGTAGTCTCCTGACTGGGCAGATGGGAAGTGGGAACGAGAACTGCCAGAGGGGACTGCATTGCCTGGGTGCGCTCACAGGATCACTTCTGTGTGAGTGTTCTTGGGGACCCTTAAGGTACTAGATGGAGATGAGCTTGAAGTCACTATACATTACCTTTGGCCTTGCCCTATATTATTTATTCTGGCAAGTCATATGTACAAGCCGGGCAGTTCATGTTTTGTATCATCTACCTGATGCCCAGTTGCCAGATGAGAAGACTGGAGCCCTGCCCTGGTGGACCTCACCGAGTTGGGCCTGGTCTCTCAGAATCCTGAAAATAGCGTGCTCTGTTTGCTCCTTGAAGGTGTTGTAAAGAGTAGCCCAACTCTCTGACTCTTTATCTGCCCCTTCCCCAGGCTCTGGAAGAGAAAGTACGGACCACAGAGACACAGGTGCTTGTGGCATCTGCACAGAAGAAGCTGCTGGAGGAGAGGCTGAAGCTAGTCTCAGAGCTCTGGGATGCTGGGATCAAGGTAGAGAAGGCAAGCCCCAGGGTGGAAGCAAATTTGGGAGTGCTGGGCCCAGACTGAATAAAAGCTCATCCATAGTGACTCTGCCAGTACTGTGACTTTTTGGTGTCAAGCTAAGAGCAGAGTGCCAGCCGGGGCCCCAAAGACGTTGTCCCTGAGGACAGCATTCACCTTCTGCTTTGGTTCCCTGCAGGCAGAATTGCTCTATAAGAAGAACCCAAAGTTGCTGAGCCAGCTGCAGTACTGTGAGGAGGCAGGCATCCCACTGGTGGCCATCATCGGTGAGCAGGAGCTCAAGGATGGAGTCATCAAGCTCCGTTCAGTGGCCAGCAGGGAGGAGGTAAGTAGGCGGGCAGGAAGGCCGCAGGACAGGGGATGCACGCCATGTTGGCAGGTTGATGCCTACCTATGCAAGAAGCCTGGCGTTCATATTTGTACCCACTTGTGAAGGACTTAAAGAGCGTAACTCATTACTATGGCCATTGTGGAGTAGATCTCCATCCCCACGTACACCTTCAAGAAGCACTGTCTACCCTGAGGTGTTTGATTGGGTTCCTGCTCCCAGCTGAGTCAAGCCTGATGCCTAGAGGAAGGTGTGGGCACGGGGCACAGTGGAGTGGAAGATGTTCATACCACTTTCCCCCCTCCTGGCCAGGTGGATGTCCGAAGAGAAGACCTCGTGGAGGAAATCAAAAAGAGAACAAAGCTGCCCCTTTGCACCTGCTGAACTGAGCAAACTATCCAAGGAAAATGGGACTGGCACTAATATTGAAGGCTCAGACAAACTGCATATGTACTTCAACATCTTTGCACATTTGTGTTCCAGCAGGAAGACCTGAAGAGTGGTCAAAACAGAGACTTTATTTTTATTATGATTATTTTATTGGTAATCACAGGCAAAAATGGCCAAGGACTACACCATTTTCCATAGGAGGCCCTGGGGGCTTAGTCTAGTCAGTGCTCCTGAGCCACAGGACTGGACGGAGACGGGCTCCTCCGCAGCGCCCTGCGCCAGGTAGCGGGAATGCCCCCAGGCCCACCAGAGGTCCAATAAAAAGCCTCGGTCACCGTATCCTGCTTGTGTCGCTATCGCCTGGACCTGCCTTCCCCGTCAGCTCCTGAGCCTCCCGTTCTCACCACTCTAGCGGTGGGGAGACCTCCGGGTAGCCCCACGGGCTCTTCCCCAGGGGCTCGGCCTCCGGCGTCCTACGTGCCGGTTTGCAGCCATTTTTTTAAGAGGTGGGGCTTTGCCGGCAGACGCACCGCTAGCCTTTCTGGCTTTCACCTGAGGGTCGGAGGAGCCCGCGGCGCACGTGCGGCGGATACGCCCATCCCCGTGGGAGGAGGGGTCGTGCTCCGAGCCAATGAGAGCTTGGGGGGTGGGTGGAGGGTAGGGAAGTTTCCAGAGGCAGATAGAGGGGAGGTTATAAAGGGGCTACCGACGATCGTCTGGCAGAATCATGCAGTCTAAGAGGGAGTGTGAGGTAAGTGGCTGGCAGCCTGGGGGTGGGCGGGCCCCACCCGTGCAGGGAGCGGGGGCCCCGGGGGCCCAGGCGAGGTGGGGCGGGCGGCGCGGCGGTGCCCCCTTTCCACCTGCCCGTTCCCCTCAGCTCTGGTGCGAGAGAGTGAATCCAGAGAACAAGGCGGCGCTGGAGGCGTGGGTCAGGGAGACGGGCATCCGCCTGGTGCAGGTGAACGGGCAGAGGAAGTATGGCGGGCCACCCCCAGGTACGATAGTCCCAGCCGGCCCCGACCATCCCCCTTGGGGGAGGGAACGCCTCCCAGGCTTCAGGTGGGAAACCCGAACTGGGCGTTACACCCCCCATCCAAGCAGTTGAAAGTCACTGTCGGTGGCCCCTCCCCCCAACACGCCTCAAGAAAAGCAGCCAATATTAAAGTACACCTTTTCCGTGCCATCCTTGTCGCCTCAGTCACCCAGTGGTGCCAACGACCCAGCTTTCAGGCGTTGTACCCATTTCACAGAAGTTTGCTCATACGTCCCAATCGGGATCCCGAACCCGGAACGATGACGGTGCCCCTTCCCAACCCTTCCCCCAGGCTGGGTGGGCAGCCCGCCGCCGGCCGGGTCAGAAGTGTTTATCGGGCGGCTGCCGCAGGACGTGTACGAACACCAGCTGATCCCGCTGTTCCAGCGCGTGGGCCGCCTCTACGAGTTCCGCCTGATGATGACTTTCAGCGGCCTGAATCGCGGCTTCGCGTACGCCCGGTACAGCTCGCGGCGCGGCGCGCAGGCCGCCATCGCCACGCTGCATAACCACCCGCTGCGGCCCTCCTGCCCGCTGCTGGTCTGCCGCAGCACCGAGAAGTGCGAGCTGTGTGTGGACGGGCTGCCGCCGGGTCTGAGCCGCAGCGCGCTGCTGTTCGCGCTGCAGCCGCTGAGTTCCGGCCTGCAGGAGGCGCTGCTGTTGCCCAGCCCCGGGCCAGCACGCACTCAGATGGCGCTGCTCAAGTTCAGTTCGCACCACGCCGCCGCTATGGCCAAAAAGGCCCTGGTGGAAGGTAGGAGGGTGAAGGTTAAGGGGTCAGGGGAGGCGTTCTGCCAGGCACTTACCTCTGCATTTCTGAGTTTGCGACCTTACATTTCTTTGACGTAAGGTTTTTAAATTTCCAGTGGTGCTACCAGCTACCACTTAACTAAACATTTTCCGCCCATTATTTCCTGAATTAATCTTAAACATTCCAATGAAACACTGAAGGATCTTCCTCTTTAGAGATGAGCAAAATTTAAGACAAATTGACTTGCCCGAGGCAGTCCAGTCGAGCCTTTTATCCACTACAGAATTTGCTTCCTCAGTGTTGTGAAAATTAAGCAGTGCTTAGTACATTCCCTGACTCAAGTATTCACAGTAAAGGTTAGCTATTATGGTTATCAAGTAGACAAAGCCTGCATTAGCCAGTACTATTCCAAAGAAACTTAGAAGGTAGCAGTTATACCCCCTTTACAAATAAACACAATGAAATTTGGAGAAGATAGTTTAGCTTGCCCGAGGTCATGCCACCAGGAAATGGAGAGCTAGAAATTTAACCAGTCTAACTCCAAGGGGCTTAAAGGGTCTGGGGGCCTGGGCCTAGGGCTGGACCTGCTCTTATCTCTCCTTTTTCCCTGCAGGGCAGTCATGCCTCGGTGGAGAGCAGGTGGCCGTGGATTGGCTCAAGCCAGAGCTGAAGCATCATCTCCGCCTGCAGCTCTTAGGACCATCTGTCCAGTACCTACAGCCAGTAGGCAGCCAGTTAGCCCTAGCAAGGGAGAGGCTAGAGTCCCAAGGGGCTAGAGCTGCCCTGCAGCTGCTGTGCCAACGGATGAAACTGGGCAGCCCAGTATTCCTCACCAAGTGTTTGGGTGTAGGCCCTGTTGGCTGGTACCACTTCTGGTACCAGGTGGTGATCCCTGGGCATCCAGTGCCCTTCAGTGGCCTCATCTGGGTTGTGCTGGCTCCAGATGGGCAGAATGGGCATGAGGTGGCCAAGGATGCTGTGTCTGCACGGCTGCTGGCGACACTGAGTGAGTCTGGAGCCAGCCTCCTGGGGTCTGTTGGGGCTGAGGCAGGTACTGTGGTTAAGCAGTGACCCCGTCCTGTTCACAGGCAGCCTGAACAAGTAGGCATGGCCTACTCCAGTCTCCAGGCCTGACACAGCCTCCCATCTGGGGCAGGGCCCTATGGCACCTGGGAGGCAACTCAGGTTTGGCTAAGTTGTGGAGGGACCTTGCCCTTCCCCAGGGTCTGACCTGATTCCATCGTCTTCCACCCTTGTGTGTGTGATGCACACTCCCCTTTTCCTCCCAGAACTTAGCATGAATCTTCTTTCTTGTTTATTTGTTGGTTTTTATTTGGGGGCTGGCTGAGCCAAAGGGTCAGAAATTGGGACTTCTGTCCCCAGCACTTGGCATTCTGGTTTTGATATGAGTGTGGTTTTGAGTTTTTCTATGCTGGTTGTATTTATATTAAACCCCTGGTTGGTATACACCTGTGTCTGTGCTGTCTTGCCGCGGCTGTGGGTGTGGCTTACGCTGGTAAGAGTAAGCAGCTGCTACAAGGCGAGTACTTCCCCACAACACTGTCCTCAGTCCTGAGCCTCTGTGTATCTCCTTATGCTACACAACAGGGTATTACAAGCTCATAGGCTCTCTGGAGATCCAGCCCATGAAGGGACTGTTTCCCAGGGAGGCCCCATCTTGAGATTCAGCTCTTCCTCTCAATCACTGTCATCCTTGCTCTCCTCTCCTTCCTCCCTCAGTCCTGCAAAGAAGTCATCACTGCTCCAAGCCTTGCTGCTTAGGGCCCGCAGCTCCCCTCCCTTTTTCTTGCGCCGACGGTAATCGTCCACCACCACAGCCCGCAGCTGGGCCATGTTCCAAAATTTGAGGCGCTGGTCGTGGCCACTGCTGGCCAAGAAGCGGCCACAGTGGGAGAGGGCCAGCTCCTCCACAGGCTCCCCAGGATGCTGGCCCACACTGCCTACTACTCGGTTCGGCAAGATGTTCACAGCCCTAGGCAGAGAGAAAAGAACCTTGGGTATGGCCGGTTGGGCCTGCCATTCCTGGGATGGGAGGGTAGTCCTGCTTCTCTCACCTGATGACTCCGTCAGAGGAGCCAGTGCACAGCAGATTCTCAGTGACTGGAACCATGCAGTCAATGGACTCAGCTCTCAGGGCAAAGCGGTCACTTGTAGCCCCAAGCCCATTCCAGTTGAAGAGGTAGATGGTACCTTCACTGGAGCCACAGGCCACCTTCTTTCCACACTGCAGGGAAACAGGACAAGTTATATCTGGAGCCATATCAGACCAGGTTCCTAGCACACCCCCATCCCTCTGCACTCAGCTGTACTTTCATGAGAGTGACAGACGTCAGGTCTCCAGACTGAGGCTCTGAGAGCAGCTCAAACCGACGTCGCCTGATATTGAAGACACCAAGGCAGCCATCTCCACTGCAGAGAGAGCAAAGAAGCAGGCTTGGCCAACACTCCCAACTGAAGACATTTAACACAAGGAAGGGATGGGAAAGGTTTGGGGCTGGACCTGGCTGTCAGCAGCAGCTTCTTGGCTAGGTCCAGAGCCATGTCTGCGATGTAGTCCTCATGCTGCCGCATATCCATTAATGGGCCCTCCTTCCGCTGGTCCCACAGCCGGATACCACCTGTGTCATCCCCAGTGGCCAGAAGGTTCTCATCCACCAGCAGGAGACTGTTGATGGGGGCACTAAAGACACAGATGCAGAACTTTTTGAAGCATCATTGTCCCATTATGGACCTACCAGTCCATACCCCTGACCTCTACACAATTGGCTCCCCTTACCCATGAGCCTTGGAAATGCGTCTTTCCAGTAGGCCCTGCTCCACATCTAGAACATGGATGGCTTTGTCCTTGGAGACAGTAACAAGTTCTGGGGAAAAGATGCCCAGGTCATGAGGCTGTCACTGCTCCTTTCCCACCACCACATTGCTGGCTGCCCGCTTGTCCCCCCCAATACTCACTCTGCCCATCTTCAGAAAAGGCCACAGCTCGGCAGGACTTGAGGTGGTGACCTGAGGACCAGAGCTCCTTGGTTTCTCCCTCTTGACAGGAGTAGGAAAAGCTAGGAAGAGGAGGAAAGTGAATGACCCTGGACCCTGCTTGGGGTGCATGGAGTACAGAGATCAACTAGCCAACTGGCCACCTACTTGGGAGTTCCCTGCTTGCACACCTTGAAGCCCAAGGACCTTATCATCCATTTTCCATGAGCTTCAAATGTCTTTTTCCTATTCAATATACATTAATTCAAAGTGCATTTGCTCAGGTCTTGGTGACCTCACCCCACCCCGCCCCTGTTCATTATCCTTGACAGCTCTAGCCTGGGGAAAGATTTGATCTGACCCCAATATGGAAGCCCAGAAATATCTGCTAAATTAACGACAGAAAAACAGCCCCAGAAATCGGAGATGTAAAAATCAGGAAGGCAGGACTCTTGTATTCCATGTCTGCAGAAGCTAGAGAAAGCCAAAAACCACACACATACTGAAAAGGAGAGAAGGTTAAAACAGAGGTGGAATAGAGAGGTACCAGTCTATAAGCTTAGCTTAGAGGCAAATACCTGTCCACAAAGTATCCCCAGTGCCTGCCTCAGAGCAGATCTTCAACTAAGGCCAAATGAGTAAGTACTTAATTGCCAGTGAAGTTCAGGCAGAAACGGGTCTACTTACCGTTTGCTCTGTCCTGGGCCTAACATGACAAAGCTACTTAATAAACATTCACGAATAGGATGAGTACTTGGGAAGACGAGAGCCCTGGAAAGCTAAGGTAATGACGTGGATCAGATCATGAAGAATACGTAAACTTGGCAGACAAGGGGCAGATGTTGAAGTCTCTTTCAGGATAGACACAAAGCGGAGGGTTCCAGTAGCAGGAGACTGGCATGGCTGCATCTGAAAGACAGGCTGGACCGGGCTTGAGACCATAGAGGCCAAGCAGAGCTCTTTAATTTAGTCCTATGGGAAAAGAAACCTCCTGAATGGTCATGGGAGAAGTTAGGCTTGCCAGATGGCAGTGGCTGAGGGTAGGGAAGAGGGAACAAACTGAAACAATGGGGATGTGAAAAGTAGAGGTCCAGGGTGATCTCCAAGATTTGGCCCTGTAAATATGAATAACAGTAGAAAGGAACCCACATTTGTTCAATACAGGTGCTGAAGTGAACACTTGACCCTCTGCCAGTTATATATTATTTCCATTTTCAAAGACAAACATAACAGAAACCGGTAGGGGATTGAGATTTAAATTCATTAAATCTGATAGCACAACTCTCCTAATTAAAATAGTCAATAGCTTCTCACTGCTTCCAGCCTACATCTTTATTCAAAAGCAAACGTGTTGAGCACTTATCTTGGTCTAAAAGCAGGAGATACAATGGAGAACAGACTAGAATAGTTTTTCAAACTCCAGTCATGACCCATTAGTGAACTGCAATCAGCATTTGTGTGTTCCTGCAAT